TACAGAAGACTAAAAAGATAATAATGAAAACTCTTTCCAGAGTCCCAACACAGCTTGGCACTGATTGGCCAATGAGTGAAAACAACTCACATCAGATTCCAACAAAACAATCTCCAAACACATTCCAAAGCACCAAAACACAGAAGAAGTTTTCCTTTTTCTCTGAGGCTTCTCAGCTTCCCAGGAGAAAAATCCTGGGCAAAGGGATTTTTCAGAGAATATGAATGTAACACCCCTCAGCATTACAAGTCCTCCTATTTGTTAAATACCAAAAAAAACCCAACCAAATCTCATTTTTTTTTCCTCCCATGCAGCCATTTGAATGACTTCCAGAGAGGACAGACTGCACCACAGCAGGGAGGGAAAAAAAATTCAAAATAAAATCACACCTTAGCTCCCATGTCAATGTTTGCAGCTGGGCTCATCTCATCCCCAAATCTTGCTTTTTATTGTAGCACAGAATATGAAACCTGTGTTCTGCACACCCATTTCTCCTCTGAACTGCACATCCCACACTCAGGTTTGGGCAGGATAGGACAGGAAAAAACATTGGGATAAACTATCTTTAAAAAATTTCCGGAGGCAGGAGGGAGGGAGAGGAAAACGTGCAGATAAGGGAGTGAAAAAAGTCAATATTGCAGCTCAGGCACCATCAGAAATGCACATTCCCCCACAGCACTGAGACCTTGGGACTGCTTCTCACAGAAGGGAAGAGAAGCAGAAAATATTTTCAGTCTAAAAAAACAATAAAAAAGAAATTCAAAGGCTCTGAGAGCCTAAAATCTGTGTGAGTGAAGCAGCCACTGCAGCCTGGTCCTGGGGGCTGGTAAGAGAAGAATGAGCTTTAATCAGCACCCCTTGTTAAAATAATTCTAATTATTATGTCTTGTCAGCTATTCAGCCACCTATTTTCAAATACAACATGTGTAAGGTCAAAATTACACTCCAGTTAATTGGGAATTGCCTGATGAAATCACAATGTGGAGGGGGACACAGAGAACATTTCCTTCAGATAAACTGAGGAGGCTCTTCTGCATTATTTATAACCAAATGAAATTGATGTTTAAAATGGTGGATTAATACAATAATGCAGGGGAGCAAGTGATGCTGGCTTGAGCACAAGTGTGCATTTTTGCCTTTGTTAAGGAAATGGAAGAGGATCTGTGTTTAGTGTACAATAAATGGATGTTTTGGAAGGGGCAGCTCAGGAGCAAAGGGGCCCTTTGGGTACTTGGCTGCTTTAGGAAGCTGCTGACAGGAGAATCCCAGGAATGCCAAGCAGCCAGATCAGTCAGCAGGCACAGTTCTAATTAACACTGACTATTCACACATTGGCATTAAATTCATTGTCAGAATCAGACACCCACCAAAATGTGAGACTTTTTCTTCTCTGTCTATTGCTGGGTGAGGTTTTTGATAATTTTTTTCCTTCCCTCTGCACAGCTCTTCTCCCAGGGCATCATTATGCGGGCATCAATGGCTAAATACCCTTCACAAACTCAAACAACCAGCCTCAAAATGCTTTTATTCAACTCTGCTCCAAGAAACCAAAAGGGGTGAGCGTGGCAAGAAGGATTGCAGAGCTGTGAGGAGCATAAAACAACCACAACTACACCAAACAAATTCACACTTTCTAGCCCAGAACCTGCCATAATAAACACACAGGGCTCCAAAACAACAATGAAAACTTCAGTGATATTTTTGCCTGACGTCTGGGAGAAACGATGAGGAGGACTCCATCTAATCAGAAGGCTAATTAATTACTTGATTATAGTATATTATTCTATATTATTATTATATTACATCTAAACTGAATCTGCCAAGCACTCCACTGCACAGAATCTTGTGACTGTCCCAACACACACACCTGGATTCAACTGGGCAGTGAATCAAAACACACCAAAATCCAATCACCAATTCCACTCATGAACAACACAGGAGCAGCAAATAAAATAAGATTTGTTTTTCTTTCTCTGAGGTTCAGATAATATAAAACCCAGGAATATTCTTGGGAAGAATTGTGCCTTGCTTTTCTCTGTGAAGAGAAATGAGACAACAGAAAACCACACACACACACAGAGAGAGAGATGAGCACTGTGCTTACCAAAGAGCCTTTTGAGCTCCTCCCTCTGCTTCCACTTGGTTATTTCCTCCTCAGTCACCTCCTCCCTGGCCACGCTGCTGAGCTCGTAGGCATCCACCTGGTGCAGCCTGGGCAGCAGCTCCCGCAGCCACTCGTAGCGCACGGGGCACACGGTGCGCACGTAGATCTTGGAGGTGACGGCCACGTCGTGGAAGATGATCCACTCCAGCAAGGTCTCCTGGTTGTACAGCTGAAAAATTCAAAGGTTGGTTTGAGTTTTCACAGCCCCACCTGCAGCAGAAGGGCAGTGGTGCAGATGTGAGGGGGTGTTAGTAGGTTTTAGGGTTTTAGAATTGATCAAAGAGGCAGAGGGAAGGTCCAGCCGGTGTCACTCCCACCTCACAACCCAAAGCTGGACCAAGCCTGAGGAATGAACACTGCAGCCCAAAGCAAGCACCAGGGACACTTTAGGGACCTGCCCCTCATTCCTTTTGGAGATGCTTTTCTGCTTGATCAGGACTTTGGGAACTCACTGTGGACGAAGGGTGGATGTAGACTATGCTGCCATGCCCATCCATGGTGCAGAATGTCCTGGCTGCAGATCTGAAAAAAAAAAAGAATTAAAAATAAATTAAAAAAAAAAAAACAACAACAAAACAAAACACACATTGTTGTGATTATACACCAACACTGAACTGAACAAATCAGCAGCAGCACAGAAAAAAGTTCTCAAATATTCACCTAGAGGAAGGTGCTTCCAGAGCTAAACTGTAAAAATCCATTTAAAGAGTGAAATACAAGAAATCTCATTTACCACAGCAGCACTGCAGGTGTAACACCACAGTAACAACAGGCTTTGGCAGTGAAGCCTTTGAAAGCTGTGATAGCTGGAGATTTCCAAGCCCTTCAGTGAATATCTGGAACCACTCTCAGCTGCTGAGCTCATTTACAGAACAATGACATTCCTGGGAAGCTGGTGACACCCTTGGAATGGTGAAGACAGCCAAGAGCAGAAGTTCCAGCCCCTTGCAGAAACATCTCCTTCACCTGCAGCTACTACTTTGCTACTTTTACCAACATAAAACCACACTTTAAAGTAATTTGCATGATTTCTTTTCCATTCAGTTCTCCAAACTTCACTCCTTACCTCCTAGCAACATTAACGAAGTATCCTGCACACAGGCATCTTCTCAGGATTTCAGTTCTGGAGCCTTCAAATGTCTCCTTAGGGAAGTCTGGCAGCTGGGAAAAGAGAAAGCAACATGAATCAGGATGGATCTTCAAGAAAAAGCAGTTAAACTTCCTCCATCCCATGGATTTTAAACTCTGGACAGAAACTATGAGGAAAGGAGAAAAACTCTCCTTCTCGCCCATTACCACCCCTGGACCTGAGTCACACAAGCAAGATAAAAAATATTTAAGTGGTTTATTTTCTACTGGAGGAAGGCAGCAGCCACCTGGCAAAGGCTCAGCACCCACCACATCTCTTAAATATAAGTTTATACAGCTCAGACATGCCCAGAAATGTTATTTTATTTTACCTGTTTCAGTTTAGTGGTTATTTCCCGCAGCTGCCTTTCAACACTAAAAGCAGATTTCACAGCTCTCCAATGGATCCAGTATTTCTGGCACCAGGCTGAAGGAGACTTGCTGAGAACAGGAATATTTGAATTATAAAGAAGCCCTTTGTCAGCTGCTTGCAAACAAATTTTCCTCTATTTTATTGTTATGGTCACACAAAGGCAAAAACCTACACAGGCAGATACTTGGTGGGGTTAAATAAAAAGTGTCTGGATGGAAATTACAGATCAGAACAAGGAATAAATCTGGAATCAGGAGTGAGCACACAGATGTGTAACTGCAGCACAGTTACCCATCTGTGTGCTCATTCCTGATTCCTGATTTCTCCCAGAAAACTGGGAGTTATGAGCAGTGCCAAACCACTGTGTGTAAGGGAGAATTCCATACCTTGCTTTGCACTGTTCAAAAATATTTAAGAGGGTTGCAAAGTCATTGCATCCCCCCACTTGTGAGGCAAGTTCCTGGTGCTGAAGCTCAGCCTCCTTCTGCTTCTGAGGATCACCTGAGGAATAAGTTATATCTCAAAGTCATTTTTGTTCATCACTACCCAATTTTCTGTTTGTTTTTGGCAGCCTTGGCTCTCTATTCCTGTTATCTTTAGATTTGTCTCTCCTTCTACAGCTGCATTTACAGTTGTTCTTCCCTCCTATTGCTGAACAAGAGCACACAGATGCTGTTAAATCCATGATTAATCTCATCAGGCAGCACCAGGGATGAAGAATTCCAGTCTCTAAGCAAGTATTGCTCACTCACAACCCATCCAGAGGCTGACACGGGAAGATAAAGGAACAAACAAACAGCTCACAGGGATCAAGAGAGGAAAACCAGGACTGTTGAACCCACCCACCACAGCACCCTCTAATCTACTGAGCTCAGCTTCTTCCTCTGCCACAGCAGTGAGATCTTAAAATAAAGATAAAACTGGAACTGTGACTTTAGTGGGAATTCACCTCCATCAAATGCAACACTTCCAGAGTGTTCTCTCAGGTTTAACACTCAGATCTGATCTCTCCTCCAGCCCAAGCCATTCCCCCTGGCAGAGGGAGGCAGAAGCAGAGGAAGAGGAGCCCCCACCTGGGCGGATGAAGACGTTTTCCACGGACAGCATGGCTGCAATGGGCAGCAGCAGATCCTCACAGCCCAGGGAAGCAGCTTTGATCACAGCACAGGACAGGTTGGGAGGGAGGGGAAACTGCACCAGGAATTCTCCCAGTCTGGTCACATGGCCTCTCCTGAAGGAGGAAAAAAATTTTATATANAGTCCCTGGACCACCCCCGCCAGGGTGTCCCCGTCACCGGGATGGCAGGGATGTCCCCTCCTGGGGGACACTGAGGGGACAGGGATGTCTCCGTCACCGGGATGCGATGGATCCCACCCCCTTCTCCCAGGGTGTCCCCCTGTCATGGGGATGTGATGGAACCACACCCCCGGAGGTGACACTGAGGGGACAAGGGTGTCCCTGGCACTGGGATCTGATGGATCCCCCGTCCCCTGGTGTCCCTGTCCCCAGGATGTGATGGATTCCTTATCCTTAGAGCATCCCTGTCCCCATGATCTCATGGTGTCCCTGGTGTCCCTGTCACTGATGGATCCCCCCTCCCAGGCTGTCCCTGTCACCAGGATCTGATGGATTCCTCTCTTCCTGCTGTCCCTGTCCGAAGAATCTGATGGATCCCCCATCCTTGGAGCATCCCTGTCCCCATGATCTGATGGGTCCCCCATCCCCTGGTGTCCTTATCCCCAGGATCTGATGGATTCCCCATCCCAGAGTGTCCCTGTCCCCGGGATCTGGTTTCTCTCCCATCCCCTGGTGTCCCTGTCCCCGGGATCTGGTGTCTCTCCCATCCCTTGCTGTCCCTGTCCCCATGATCTCATGGATCCCCCATTCCAGGCTGTCCCTGTCCCCAGATCTCATGGATTCCTCTCCCCTGCTGTCCCTGTCCCCTCTGTCCCCATCCCTGCCCCCCAGGGCTGCTCTCCCAGCCCCTTCCCATGCCCCTGTTAATGAGTCCAGCACAGTAATGAAGCTCCTCCACACTTCCCTCTGTGTTTTATTAACTCATACTTGACCTCCAGCACGTAAAACAGGTAAAAACTTAACTTTTCCTTGGGATCAGCGCCCAGAGCTGTGTGTGCTGTCACACTTGGCATGGCTCAAATCTTATTTTATTTAACAGCTCACTGTTACTTCCCCAGACAATTTTTACTTTGTCTTAAATTCCCCATCTCCAAACCTCTGAGAGAAGCCCTGGAACACAGTGGGGGGAAAATCCCTCACTTGGAAAATGAAAAGAAAAAAAATATATATATTAAAAAAAATCAGCATTAGGATCTGCCAAGTGATTTCTAGCCCCAAGGAACAGTGGGCATTCTGTGTACTCATTTCAGGCCCACTGGGTGGTGCAGATGGCATTTGACTCATGAGGGGCTGTGACACTGCAAATATAAATCAAATTAAACAGCAGAACTCAGAGCAGAGGATGAGTCAAGCCCAAGTGCTGCTGCTGCTCCAAAGCAGAAAGAACAAAACCCTTCCCCATCAATCACAGCAAGAGGAACAATTACCAGAGCCAGCAATTTCTTTATGAGCAATAATATTGTAATATTAAAAAAAAAATCCCATGGTTTTGGAGGCAGTGCTGGAATGCTGGAGGTGAGGCAGAGGTGGGATGGTGAATGCTTTATTCAGGCTACAGCAATCAAACACAATCCAGCACTTGAACCAGTGCCCAGGGTGGCACAGAGCACACAGCTGAGGCAGGAAAAATCACAGCAAGTTCTTCCAATTATTTGGAAATTCTTACCCAAACTGCTCACTCAAGCCCTGGAGCGTTTCAGAGTTATTATGGTGATAAAACAGAATTTCTTTATTGAGAAGGAAACAAACTTCATGATGACAAAGCACCACAGCTCCTTGCTCTTTCAGATGCTCAGGGAAAAACACTTTTATTTCCTTGTGTGTACCTGGTACAGCACAGCAAGGAATGGAGGTGAGAAATGTCCCTTTGGATTTAATACTGCA